ACCCGATATCACGTACTGAACTGGGAAGCTAAAGATAAGAGAATGCATAGGAAGTGGTGTGTTGCTAAAGGTGGAGTCTAGAATCTAGTTATTAATATAGTAAGCTTTTATTTTTTATGCCATAGGGTCCAACGAGCAAACGGTTTACCTGATGCAAGTGATCAGTGCTCCTGCACCACCAGAGGATAGTTTAATATCAATAATGCATAGAATTTTATCGTGAGTCATGATTTGGATGCCTATCGCTGTCTTTTTTCTTCCTTGTAGTAGTGATTCATTCATATATATTATCAGTAGAGCGCTTAATTAATTTCTATAATAATAGGGCGACAAAGCAATTTACCTTATCAGAGTTCATTGTCTCAAACCCTTGCTATGCCCTTTGTAAAATTGAAGTCCGATATGATTCATTATTCATTACCTACCTATACAAATGCGTATAGGTAAGCAAAATTCAATAACTCGTTTTCAAACAGGTTCGGTACTCGATTAGGTGAATTTTGAGTTATGAGCTTTCACATTGACTGCTCACTTATTTGGGAGTGCATTGCGATGCATTTAGTCCATCGCGTAGGTAGCAAGGTGCAGTGTTGCCTAACTCTTGTACTGTCTAGTCTAGATTCGATTCAGTGGGTGTAGTTTCAGTGTTTTATTTTGAAACTGTTCTTTAAAAGGAGCCAAGGTGTTGATCTGTAAGTACAGTTATTGTGTTTTTAATTTTTTATATTTTCGGAGGTCAAAATTATGTTCTAAAATAGGTAGTGTGATATTTTTTGGGCATCAATGTAGGGGTTTATGTTACGAAAATATCTTCGAAATAATACATTTCATTTTAAATTAATAAAACTTTATTTTACCTGACTGACGATGACTAGCATTTTTGTTTAAACCAAAGTTAATGGTACGAAAGAATGTTTATCGTTGTTAAATCTTCGTTATTGGTTATAATTAAACCACTTAAGAAAATATTTTACTAGGAATGTAGCGTGTATTAATATTTATGTATTCTAGTTTAAGTTTGTCGTAAATATAGCGACCATTACTTATACGAGACTTAAAATTCCATCAAATTAATTTACCATTAATCAGTACCAAAATCATTAATCATTCATTCACATAGAAAAATCCCATCAAAACCTATTTTCATAAGTAAATAGAGGTTGAACTAATTTTGGATGAATTGCGTTCCATGCCATTCTAATATCGTTCAGGTAAAAATGAGAAACAATATAAAAAGTTTATCCTGCCCGTTTGTGATTACTCAGCTAAGCACATAATTAACCCTTTTAAACACCTTTTTTTAGATTACCTAAGTACAACGAAACGTGATACCGTAATATTGATTGAACATGACATGAGAACCTTTCTTTCGCCCAAAAAGGGCACTAAAATTATTTTATTCTTCATTCTTTGGTGTTAATAATGATACAAATGTCAATAAACTACCACAAAAAAGTCATTTCATTCAAAATGTATTTGATTTATTTCTTAATACATTAACTCGTCGAGTACCGGTTTTATAGACACAATTAAAGAACAATAGGTCGCGGTCACCGGTGACCGCTTGGTGTTTGACAGTTTAAACGCCATGGGGGTCATCTTAGCGGAGGATTTGCCTTCAACAGTTTTCTTTTGGCAGTCAAAGCCTTAAAACATCTCCAGTACTTACTAGTATCAACGTAATATTGTAATGCATATTTCTATTTAAAAAACAACTTATCTTTTCTTACTATCCGAGACGCAGCAGTATACTGTCACTCGACACTGAAAACAATAAAATCCACGTGCTTCTCCACACAACAGTCAACAGGTGGCCCATCTAAACAGGTTTTAAAAATAAATCCATCTTCGCCTCCGTTTGAAAATAAACTTGTACGAGTATAGAAAAAGCAATCATTTCGAGAGGGGTTGATACCTGATTTATCATGGACGGTTGCGTCTGAACGTGATAGAATCACCAACCGTGAACTTGACCATTATCTGTTGTAGGTTAGGTAAGGTTTAATTTTTATCGTGGCTTGGTAACAGACAGTGCATACAATAAGTGCCCTGTCACAAGTTTTATTGTTGTTTTTGTATCTGTGGTAATTATGTAGTTGTTCGTTAACCCGTCTTGTGTCTAAACGTGGATCCACGCGAGACACAATGTATTTTGTATTGTGTCTCAAACAACTGTCCAAAAACATAGATTTATAGCATTAGTACGGAACTTTCCAAGGTTAAGTTTAAGGTTCAAGGTTAACATTACTCTGTAGACTGCTTAAATAGGCAATTGATAGAGATTGGCTTTCCAATTTTTGTCCCTTAATAATTCAAGAATGCCTATTATAAAACAACTTCACTATTAAAGTGGTATTACAGTAAGAAAGAGCTTATTAAAGTTGAGTGGCGTAGTGTATTAGGGCATCACTATCCTGAGTGGTAATCACGATTTGATTAAAGTGTGTGTGTACGTATAGCTGTGTATAACATCTGTTAACGCCAGTGGTAAATGAACGGTCCTTGCGCTGATGGCTTTTATAAGTGCGTTGGGTTATGGTATAAAGAGAAGGGTTAAGCGGGTTCACTATGTTAAATTATCTGTTTTTATTTTTAGCGGATTACTGACAATCTATGATTAATTCACGATAGTCCAGGAGAATAAAACAAAATAATTTTCTACAAAAAGAAAAAATGATGAAAACTATTGTTTAGATTAACATCCATTGTTCAAAACGCGTGTCAGAACTTCATAAACGATGTAAAAATAACAAGTTTCCGTTAATTTACTCTGCGTTTAATTGTTTATAGCCATGGCTAATCTGTAACTGGAACAAACAACTTTTTTTATCAACAAAGCTTTGTTAGTCGATTGCGAGTGGTCACAAGCGTGACTAGCAAACATGAGGTATCGCGTTTTGTTTCAATACAAAGCATGGTTATTGGATTTTTCTAGTTTTGAATCTCTACTCTCACTCTACTACTCATTTTTGTTGGGTTTTAGAACTACGTATCTGGCGAAATACTTGTGTTACCTATTTTAGTTAAGCATAGAACCTCTGTATGTACCTACGGTCCCTGGAGTTTAAAAGAAACTCAGAGTAGTCGTTAGTTAGGAAATGTCAACTTTATCGTTCACTTATAAAATTGACGTGTAAAAGAGCTACGTTGTAGCATGTTTTCTGAAATAAATTCAGTTGTTTTGAGGAAGGCAACGCGTGATTATATTCTCCGTAATGAACAGTGTACTTTTATCTTCCTCAATTTATTGTTCTCTTAACATTTAATTAACGCTACAATACAAACTTAGACCACATACCAAAGCCTAGCCGTTGAGTCTGTGTGCGTATAGTTCATTGACCCTTTGCCTCTATTTGCGTTAGAAGGGAAATATCCAATACTTGGAGAAAGCTCCATAGTTCCATACCCATGACCTTGTCTGCCCAGTACCATAAGTGCATGATCATTATACACGACACGCAAAAAAAACTTCGATTCGTGAAGGTATTGTTGGGTGTCGAAAATAGATTCTGTTGATCAGATAAACTTAGTTTATGCTTGTGGTACTTGTATTAGTATTTTCAGTGTTGTTATTATGCTTACAAAAATAATAACTATACTATCAACATTGGAAATTTTATCTGAAAGGAATAACAAAGGTTACTTTTTATCCCGATATAAGAAATCACGAATGAAGCTCCAGACACACAGATAATGAATTTGAAACTTTCTTAGTGTACTTAATTTTATTAGTATTTTAATGTTTTATGTGTCCTATTTTGTCTTTATCATCTACTTCTACACGTCTGTTTTGGATCGGATGGGCTTTTTATTAGACAGCTTCCATCGAAATGATGGCTATAAAATTATGAATACAATTTTTAATTTTTTAAGATAACTACGAGGTACCTAGTTTGGATGCTTCCAAATGAGTGTAATTTCTACCAGTTTTGTTTTTCTGTCTCAATTTTTTTTTCTCTCGTGTATCATAGACCTTTAAGAACTTATTTCTTTTTTATAATTTGAATTTGGTCCGGGTTTAATGGTATACTGATGTCTTATGTAATCTCTGTACCTTAATAGAGACTTAACACGCGATATTGTACTAGAATTAAATTACCCCATATACAAATTCAGGTCATGGATTCTTTGTGCAAACTTTATCTTTGTATAAATTCAACAGTTGCAAGAAAATCTGTATGCGCCAACTCTTTAAAACTGTATTAGGAAGATAAGACACTTACGCCCGAATACGGAAAAGCTAATCAATTTAAGTTGTGACTAATATCGTGCCATCTCTGTAATTTTACAAAGAATTTATAGAGACACAACTATACTCATACTTAAGCGCTTAATATTATGGTTAAGAATAGGCATTTTATCTTCCAAAACAATTCTTAAACTGTCAATTTCTAATTTTCCTTAAGAGTAGTGAGTCTTACAGCAAATATTAATATATTTCAGTTTCTCTAACCTCGATGTGGGTAGCGCAATCCGTGAAAGTGTGTTAAATATTACGCAAGTCGTCTCAAACACTAAAAGGATATTCAAATGTCTGTGTACACAATAGTCTAGAGGCTAGGACATGTTGTCGGTAGCGGCACTAGGGGACACTGCCTAATAGATCGTGAATGAAGCGAGTGAAGTGTCTATGAGCTCGTTTCCATTTGTGTGTGTTGACTTTCCCACGAAGGGATGGTAAAGGGTGGAAGTAAGGTTGTGATTGTGATACTTATTGTTGTTTGATTAATAAAATAGTAACTCTTCGTATGATACATGAATTGTTGCTTCGGAATAGGGTGTGATGTTATGTGTGTGTAAAGTTGTAAACGCATCCACGGTACACAAGAAAATTCTAGTTAAATGTTACGAATTACAAAATATATATTTGTAGTGCAGTGCAATCATGGCCTTAGGAAACGTACATCAGAGTAATATGCCAATAGTCATACTTCTTGTCATAAGTTTTATCTCTTATGGATGTCATTATAAAGGTGCTTGTGTTTTGTTGCAGGTAGACCATGAGTCAGAAGGTGTCCCGCAAAACGGCGGTCAGTGAAGAAGTTGAAAAGGTATTTAGCATGTACACACATTTTTCCACCCATGATTAAATGCTTCCTGGTTATATTTTTAGTTGTAACAAAACATCTTAACTTCACTACTAAGTCAATTCTTTTAAAACTAATAACTTCAACTTAAATTTACAGAGAAACAGTCCAGTAAAAGAGATGAAAAAGAAAATGGCGGCGAACGCAGAAAAAGAGAAGCAAGCTGCAGAGAAGGCAACAGAAAAACAAATAGAGAAACCGGTAGAAAAGCAAGCAGAGAAGGAGAAGCCTGCTGAAAGTAAAGACAAACATGAGAAGAATGAGAAGCCAGAGAAGAATGCTGAGAAACAGACTAAAGAAGAACAGAAGAAACCCGAACCTCAGCCGGAAAAGACCAAGGAAGCTAGCAAAGATGATAAGGATAAGAATGGAAAGGTTAGTTTTAAACTGGTGGATACTGTAATATAGAATGTATTTAGTTAATGTGTACATAAATACATGAATTTTTCCTTGGGTGTAGTTGGAAAAGTTTCATACTCATTCATCTTTTATCATATATCGGTGATGAGTACTTCTATCTCTTCATCTTATTGGATATAAATTTCTTCTGCTGCTTCCAAATCTTCTAGTATTAGTGCAAATGTGTAATATACCAAGCTTTAAATAAAATATTTCAGCCAGAGAAATCGGAAGCGAAAAAGTCAGAGACGTCAAAACAGAACGGCAAACAGAATGGGCGCGATCGCGTGCACAACGGAGTGTCTGACGTCACGCTCGGTACCAACGGCACTGATGACGTATTAAACGGAACGGTGAGTGCGGACTCTGAAGACGATGACGTCATGCTCGTCATCGATGACAACGACCAGGACGACTTGTTCCCGGAGCTGACGTATGAAGAGACGTCTGACGGAGACTGTTTCGAACTGCCCACACCTGAGAGTGGGCCCAGCAGAAGCCTCACGCGACGATCACAGGTACCTTCGTGTACCTGTTGTGCTTTTTCCCATTTTGTTCCAATTCTGTTGTTGTAATTTTATTTTTTCGTTGGTGCAGGTCCTTAATTTACTAATTTTTTTCTGACGATCATTATGACAGTTCCGTCAGAATGTTGAGTGTTTTGTTTTAGATTTTGCAGCTATTTTTTGGTTCTGTGGTTTTCATTAAGTTCAGTGTCTCACTGCAAACTAGACACAATTCATTGAATCGTTTCCATTCATAATTATACTTCAATAAACATTCATTAATTCGTACCAACACTTGCATGAATTACTTGCACACTGCGCAGTGGAATGCGTAAATTAATTACTCAAAGTAAACTACACTTACAAGTGTAAACAATAGGATACAATTTTGCATTTACCCACATACGTATTCACATGAAATTAGACCTAGATGTCTAGTTCATAAGATATATTATTGCATGCAAGTATTGCAGTGAGACAATGGTTTCATTTGTGTGTGTGTGTGTTCATCCTAACGAACTAATAGCGTTGTTATGGTAAAGGTGAAATCGACGCGGACGCCCGAGACGCCGCGCCCAGCGTCAGACAAACAAACAGACAAGGATGCCGACGATGTAAGTCGCGGTATTATGATACACACAGATTATAGTATACATGGAGTACCAAAATCAGTCAAAAATGTATCTAAAACAGTGTTAGAAAGTTCTTTTGAAGGCTACAAGGTTTTATTTCGCGTTTACTTTGGAAACTGCGTTGGTTTAGAATTTAGGAATGTTCTTTTAATGGCATTGTCGCTCCATTTATAAACTAATCCGTGTTGTCTTATCTTGTAAGGTCGTTTTGTGAATGTGGAAAATGATAGTTTAATTGGTGTCTAATATTTTAAACATGAATGGAGATAAAAGTTAGACATAACAAAAAATATAAGAAAATAATCATTTACTACATGTCAAACCAATATTTTTTATAAATGCAATGCAAAATATAACACCTAAATCCTAATTTGAAATATTATCAATTTCCACATTGACAAAGCAGTGTTATGCACATATTTGCACAGCTAACTTGCACGGCACATGTTATAACAGTTTGCACATATTTGTACTACTAACACTACTGACCCATGCTAGCTAAGGAGGAGGTGGAGCGCGTGAGGGAACGAACCTCCTCACGACCCGGCCGTCGCGAGAGACACTCCGGGCGTCGGGGATCGCGAGACGATCTCCGGCCACCGTAAGCACGGGTCTGCGGACGGCGAGCATGGGTGACTCGCCGCCCGACCAGAACCAGGCCCGTGCGTACGGCGCGTCGCGTTCCGCGCGCGCCTCAAAGAGCCATCAGACCACCACAGATGGGGCCTAACAAGGCTGATGCCGATACGGAGCCGCGGAAGACTTAACGGGTTGCCGGGGCTCCGGTTCGAAGTGCAGGTGTAGGAACGGGGTGGTTTTTAGTCAGTAAGAGTCTGACACTCCCTCCCGCCTCACCCAGGCGGGAGAAGTCATTGGATGATTTTCCCCCTCAAAAAAAAAAAAAAAAAAAAAAAACACTACTGACCCAATTACACTGTATTGTGTGATATGATAATTTTATGTATTATATTGGTAATGAGATGTAAGTAGAGGTATGGTTAAGTTTTTTTTTTAATTTCCCTTTTTAATTATTTTAAAATAAGTGATTATTTATTTTTCTATTTTTTATGATTTATTAATTCTGTAATTACTATAAATAATAATATTTCAATTCATAATAACGAGTTCCTATGTGTAATAATCTTCTACAGAATATGCATGAAAATCTTATCACAATCTGTACAGCTGTTCTAAACATTGACACAATACAACAGACTGACAACACTTTAGAAACAAAATTAATACAATATCTATCATAAATAACTTATGAATTAAAATAACCAAAATATAAACAAAAATATCATTCTGTATGAAATAATTTCAGCCAAAAGATAAAGTGTTGAAGCTCAAAGAAGATGCGACAGTGCCTACAGACAGGAAGCTACGTTCCTCAAACTCTCCAAAGCCACAAGAAGGCAAGAAAGACTCAAAGAAGGATAAACTTGAGTCTCCCACTAAGGGGGAAGGGTTACCGAAGGTAGATGAGAAAGAAGAAGATGCAGCGAAAGTGGAGAAAGGGAAAGAAGGTGAAGTTGACGTTGAAGTTACGCTCGAAGTGCCTGGGAATGAGGGTAAGTGGATGATTTGAAGATTCCAAGTTTATTAATTATTATGTTTTCAGCTTACTAACGTAAGTAACTGTTTGTCGCTCATATTTATGAACAGCGTTCCTCGTAACAGCGCGACGCCGCGTCGCGTATTCTTATTTGTATTAATTTTGTATGTTTACGAAAGTTTTAATATAAGCATTCCACGTTCAGATTTTAGTTCGTCAAGTTTTTAGTGTGAAGTGGCTCTTTTTGTAAGAGGAAGGTGTCTCTTAGTATTATAGTGTGATCTTTCATTGCCTTCCTTAAAGACCAGTTATGTTTGTGTTAGCGAATGGCACTCATTTGTAAAACTGAGAAACGTTACTACGCCGTTACGTTTTTGCCAGCTAAATATGCAAATAAATATTTTTACAAACATGAAAAAACAGCAGTATAAAATCTCTGGAGCACCCTTGTCAGTAATTCTTTGCCAGTAGAAAAACAGACATGAATAGTAAAAGTGTATGTGAGATGGACGCGGTAACGTTATGTGTAGTGTGACCTGTACTTGCAGAGGAGGAGCCTCGCAAGACGGACACCAACTTCTCCAAGTCGCGCGTCAAGGTATCTCCATACAGACGCAGCATGCGCATCGCAGACCAGACCAATACTTCGCTGCAGGCTAATTATACAGGTAACTACTGTTATTATGAAGTATGAGTTTTGATGCTGTTTAAAGTATTATGAAAACTGCAATGCAAAATGTTAATTAAATATTCAAATAACAGTACTAAATTATTTTCCAATTCCAACTTTATTATTACACACATACAGTACAGTCATTACCAGCCACATTACATAGACAGGGCAAATCACCAATCAAAATTTTCGATTTGCCCTGGCTATAGTGTTACAAATGTCTCAATTGTTATTTTTTCTGAAATGTGGAAATCTTACACGTTATTTAGAATATTTGCAACTTATAATTTTTAGCAAATCCACCTTGGTAGTCACTAGATGGCGCTAATGCTACATTATGTTTGTTAACAGTTAAGTGAAAAATAAAATCATAATCTCGATGTTATCAGACAAACAATTCTATTTTGACGTTTTAAAAGATTAATCGAAAAGCTACATTGATTTCATTGGTCAAGAGACCTCAAACGCTCCTGGTGACATAATATACTTAGTCAGTTTTGATAAACTATTGCTTTCTGTTATAAATACCAATAACACAGTAAAATGTCATTGGAATCAGGTATGTAATAAAACTACTACTAGTCACCGAAGAATTTGTTTAAGATTTTTGGTTAGCTAATCCGATCCCCAAGTTTCAAAGTTAAAAAAAAACCTCTCTCAATTGGGAGGCTTTTGTTCGACATTCCTAAACTTGACAATTCAGACTGTTATTGATGAACAGTCATCATCAACAACCTCATCTAAAGAGGGTTTGCCAAAATCTCTTAAACTTGTCGAGGGTTAGAGACTGCAGTTCAGAAGGTTCCAATTTAGCAAAGACCACTGCTGCTCGATCGCTGTAAAGGTGTAATTCCTTACACCCTAGAACAAAAGTGATGACAAATGTAGGCTTTATACATTATGATAATGAATTTCATAGCAAACATTTCTAATATATTCCAGGCAACAACACAACAATGGAGATGGACATATCAGAGTCCTCAGTCCTAGAAGAAGCTCCGCTCGACGACAGTTCATACCTCCGTGGACTGCGCAGTATCCGCGGCCGGTCCTCGTACAAGCCGCTCAAGGAGATCACTCTCAGACATCTCACCAGCAAGCGGACTACCACTACTACTACATCTGGTGTGTATACTGAGTTTTTTTAAAAACTAAATACATTTTTAATTATATCCATCTAGTCTGTTGCAAACCTAAATTATATTTTTCTGCTATAACACTTAATTTTACTAGTTTGTATTTATTTGATTCATCGATAAGACCTATTGAATTACCTTATTTGTTTAGATAGAACTAGAATAATATTTTATCTAAACGTGTTGTTTCTATATTGATCTAAAGTAGAGGCCCACCAAAAATGTCGATGACCAATGCATGCCGAGGAGGTAGATCTTACAATGTGCAATCATAAGATAAAGGAGCAAAAAAGGAATAGGTTATTTTCTTTTATTATCGAGGTGCACAGTAAGACCTAGGGTCATTTAATATCAAAAAAATGGAGGCTACAAAGTTAAACAAAGACTTCTAAATTCTTATGTGCTATAAAAATAATGAGAAAATAACAACATCAACTACTTGGTCCCCCAGTGACATCCCCAGCCCCGTCCACGGAGTCCCACAGTCGTCCAACGGGTACAGTCGTGGGCCGCAAGCGTAAGCCCGACACCAACGAGCCCGAGCTGGCCGTGGAGGTGACGGAGAGCGCGCCCAGCAAGCGCATGCGCGTACTGGAGCGACTCGCCGAGCCATTCCGACGGGTCGCCGCCGCCGCCGCGCTGCCTACTGTCGCCAGGAGAAACGCTGAGGTAACATTGTACTCTAACCATAGTATTCTAGTTCAAAATATCTTAGTTCGTAGGTACTCAGACCACAAAGTCACAAGATCCTTTTTAATACTTGGTATTAACCTTATAGAACCACACTCGGCTCTGACGACAAAAAAATTAAACAATTATGTGTTGTTGTCGGCTACGGCTAGATTTTTATACGTCGTCCAGACCTTACAAGGTGGTGCTTAAAGGGTTAAAATAGCCTAGTATTCTGTTTTTGCCTGTCTGAAATCCACAAGTTTGATTTCTATTTTTAGAAATCTTGACATGAACTGGAAATACACTACACCAACTTATCGTATAATTTTATTCCCCAACAGATCGTGGGCATCAATACAGACTTACCGCTGACGGCCCCCGTGGCGTCGACGGAGACGTTTGACCCGGAGTCACTGAAGCCGGCACCGACCGGTCCGCCGCCGCTCGTGCCATCCTCCGAACCAGTCGCCGTCCCACTCGTACACGACGAGAAAGATAACAAGAGGTGTGTCATCATGTAAACTACAAATATTGGGAAGTATCACGCAAATGTCTCCGTCAACCAACGAGCCAAAAGAGCTCTACCCCGCTAAATAAACGTCAAAACTCAATGACGTTGACATGTGTCAAATTTGATGTCTGTCAAACATTGATAAGATCAAATCTGCCGTTCATTGGAAACTCGGTTGCCATCGAGGAAAAATGAAATACATTGACGTTAGTGTCATTTGTCTAACGAGGTTGAAGATATTTGCACCTGTTCCGCAGTTAGCGTTGTAAAGACTGGAAGAACTAGCTCGGTCTAGACGGTCTGGTTATCAGATATTAGGTAAAAGATATTTTCGTGGCGGACGCAATTTTTAGATACGTTTTTGATGTAAGAGTTGAAGGCAGGACGGTGTGTGAGGTTATGAAGTGACAGCGAACATTAATGTAAAATGATCATCAAAAAAAAAACATGAGATCACTCCATAAATTCCCTAAAAGGATAGGTAAAAAGGTACACATATTAAAAGTAAATCTTTAGCAATTAAGCACTTTTAGTTTTGTTTGTTTTTATCCCAGATGTCCCACGAGAACCAGAACTATGCGTTTAAGGCCCAGGACACTAACTATTAAACCACTGAACCTATGTGATTGAAATTCGGCACAATGATAGTTTGAGACTCAAGAAAGGTCAATAAAACTCTTGTGCGATTTTTTTTAAAACAATAACTTAAATTCACAATAAATTGAATATACCTTGGAAAAGACGAACTCAAAAACCCAAAGTTTGCCAAAAGTCATTATTCCACGCTGTCGAAGTATATTCCGTAAATATGTTATTCAAAAAATAAGATCTTGATTACCTGTCACTTCATAATTTCACACAAATAGGGTCGTCTCGAAATATCCGACGTTTGGTTTGTGCGGAACGGACCTACGTCGTCGTCCGAATGTAAGTATTGTATGTGAAGTGTGTTTTGAACTAAATATTATTAATTAAATTTAACAATATGCCGCCGTACTTGAGTCTATAATGGTTACGTAACCCAGTCCTTATCTGTTGTTTTCGGGACAAAATCGTTACTAAGGAATAGTTTAAGTTATCATTATACGACTCTGAGTATGGCGATGTATTGTCAGGAGGTGTATTCACTATTTAATTTACCATTTGAGAACTACAATCGTCTGTGAATGTTAAAAATTAAAGTGTAATATGCTATATCAGATTGGCGTGAATTGATGAAAAATGTCGTGAGGAAACCATGCCTTATTAAATTCAAAATATAAGTTTAGAAATCGCCAACCCTCCTTGAGTAAGCGCGGTGATTATTGCTCATTCCTTCTCCGTGTGAGAAGAGGCCTTTGACATTCGGCTGATGATAATTACGTGTGACGTCTATAGAATTGAGGTTATTGACAAAAAATAATATTTGCAAGTTAAAAACACACTTCACAATGAAAACAAATTAGAAATACATAAAATGTAATATACATAGTAAATAGATATATTTGATTAGTTGTAAAAGACAAGTGAAGGCAATGTTTGTACATAATATTATTATGTATCGCGGTTTTACTTGCGAAATTATAATATTTTATCTTTTTATCTATTGACTTGAAAATATTGGATATGTTACGGACTACTAGAAATTAATTAAGTGCCAGATGTTCTTTTTGTATTAATTTCAAAATGAAATCAATTTTGTGGATTTATTCAAGTTTTGTTGTGAATGAATAAGATTCGTTTTATTTTTGTGTAATAGTAATTTTTGTCATTTGATTGTGTAATAATGTGTGCAAGGCATCAAAATAATGTTATATGGAAATATTATGTTAGATTATAGTCCGTAACATGTCTGAACATGTTAGCTTAGTACTTAGGTAATGAAACTCGGTTAGTACACGGTTTCAAGGATTTTATCATTTAATATTGATCATTTACTATAAGGCTACCCAAAGAATGAACAATTATTATGTTCCCCACGGCATATTTGTGCATTTTCTAATAAAATTCAATCTACAATATACAGGATTTTTATTTTAAAATTGTTATTAAATTACTAACATCAATCGTCCTTTTTGTTTCTATACAAGTTATAAAGAAAACATTAATTATGTTATGATAACTGTCATCATATCGTATTACAATATCATTCAATATATCACTCTCATGACAATAGGAATTAGACCACCGATTGATTGCCATACATTCATAAAATTCAATATTGTGTTCAATTCTATATTTTAAACACAAATAATAATTCATATTTATGGTTTACGCTTTATTCACGTAACGCAGTGGTGCACATGAGTATGAGCCCCTAGCGTGGCTTGAAATTAGTTGACTTACCTCGTTAAGTTACGTGAGTAAATCGGTAACCATAATTGAAATGTCTAACAAACCATAAACCCGATTTTGTATAAATATGAGATTAAATTCTTTATGTATTTCCTATCAAATGAAAGAAGTATTTTGTTATTACAGAACTGCACAACAGATTTCTTAATAGACTGTCTTTTATTTACCTTAATTTAAGAATATCACATATTAGCTTAGCATAAACTTGTTTTACGTTTAACGATATCCAAACGTTACCACGTTCGGCGCGCTCTGATTGGCCTGTTACAATGAACCACCCAATCAGCGCCGAACGTAGTCTCGATTCGTTTATTTAAAAAATGTAAAACTATGTGGTACTAGGCCCTTTGATTTTTTAATATGATGTGAAATTTGGCAGACGCAATATCATACAATAAGTTGTTTGTATGCAAATAAATGCGCTGAAGTAATGTTTTGCTTATTATTTACTTCTCTCAAGTTCAAGTTAGCCCAATAGGACTAAAAACGACACTAGCGCCAATCAACAAAACGCCTTGATATTAATTTCTTGTTCCCAACAACTGTTAGTTGAAAAACAGTTCTTATCTTAAGAAAATAGCGTTTAAATTTAAATGCGTTTTATCATGTTTATTGTTTAGAGTTTACATACAATTTAGTTAAGTTTTAGTTTAGTTGAATTATATGAAATACAATAGATGAAAGTGGAGAATTTTTGATAAATAAATCATTGCAATCTATTTTGTGTTTTATTTTCATTCGTTTTAAGTTGAAAGTGTAAATGTAATAATGAAGAAACGTCTAGCTTCAATATACGTAATGTTAACAATTTATTTAAAACTTTGCTATTCCCATGACGTACTATAATTTCGAAAGTTTTCGTAAGATTTGGTTTTTCTTTTTCAAAACATCGAATTAATAACTATCTTGAGACATACTAAATTAACTAAAAATCGGGGGTTACGTGTGGCTGCGCGATATCGCCGCGACCGCACATGCTCATAAGGAAGAGCCCCTCTGTGGCTCGAAACTAGTAGTTTCTCTCAGTACTTTCACGTGAGAAACCCGCGATTTTTAGTCGACTCCCTTATGGATTTGTATGTTTCAATATGTGCTAAAAATGCAAATACAACGAAACAACAACACAAAGAACCAGCTTAATGGTGGCAGATTTATGAAAAAAGAGATCTGCTTATGTATATTCTGTTCAACGTTATTTACAAAGAGCAAGCAGATGTTGAAAACTCATTACACAACTTGTCCGCTGCACCGCCTGCACTAGCTTGCACAACTTTAAGTCTATAGTTTTTCTCTTCATTTTATAAGTGGATCATTTTATCGGTCTATACCTACTGGTGTTTGGTGAATAGATATAAATACCTATACGTTGAGCTTCACCGTGTATGTGAGATTAACGAAGGCCTTGTATACCCCTCCCCCCTCTTAAATCTCCCCTAATCCCCTTATCCTTACATTCCTTATCCCCGAAAGGCCGCCAACTATTCCATACTGGTGTTACGGGTGTCCACAGGAGACGCCTTGCTAATCCTAAATCCCATTCCCATTAAAATGGCAGTCGTGTGCAGCTAATTCCATTCAATAGGTCATCGGTTTGCTCGTTTGATGGCCTATCTATACTATGTATAAAAAATAAAATAACTGCCCTTCATTTCGCGAAAAAAAAATAACATTGTAATGTAGATCTCTACTTTACTTATCTACTCTTAATATAATGGATAATGAGAAGTAGAACTGTGTCAATAATGGGCCTGACAGTTTTGTTGATCCTTTCGAGATTCGATACATACTTAGATAAACTCATACCTTTGCCACATGTGAGTAGGCAGAAATTAGAAAGCATTTCCTACTCTATTCCATAGACACTACTATAACCTTGTTAGCGAATTTTTTTTTCTTTAAAAAAACGTTTCCCCACACTAGGATTTTCTCCTGTGTCGTGGGTGCGTTTACAAACATACAAGTTCACATACACATGACACCCTGACCCGGAACAACAATTTGTGGATCACAAAAAGAGTAGTTACGTGCGGGAATAGAACCCGCTACACGTTGCGCGGCAGCCAGTTGCCCAGCCACCGCACCAACCGTGCAGTCAAATATTTATTAGAGGGTAGAAAATTATCGAATGACTTCTCGCCCTGGAGAAAGAAAAGGGATACTATGCCCTGGATGAAGCGAGTGAGAGAGAATGTCAGACTATAACTAAAACTACCGCGTTCCAATACTCCTGCTTCGAAACAGTGCCTCGGTTAGCATCAATATAAGTAAGTTAGTAATTGTTGGTCGTAAGAAATTATGAAATTGTTTTATTGGTAGGTGTATCCTGGTCATTCATAATTCATATACACTGCTGATGAAGGTGAAATTCAGTATTTTAGATAAGCAACAAATGTTGCAGGTACTCTACAATTACATATTTTGTATCGCAACTATGTTGAGGCGAGGACTAAATAATTACTAGAAGCGGGTTCGATTCCCGCATCGCGATAAAGTATTCGTGTCACTACTGTTTTGTTTTTTTTTTTCAGAATATTGCGGTACTTTAATAATATTCTCATTTACATGTATGTACGTAAGCAAGATAGAAGATAGGTATTGTATCGATAATCGAGTGGTAAAAGTACACAAGTCCTAAGTTCGATGTCATGGTTCATGTGATGGCTCGATGATGTTCAA